AATTCCAACACTGAACCCTGAAACTTTATCTGGAGTAGAGATTGGTACATATTGGGAAAGGTTGCTCCCCTGTTACCAAAGGCAACTGTCTGAAAAAAAGCCTGATTAAGCTGCAAGTTTCTCCTTTTATCTAGGGTTGTGGGGTTTTTTGGTTTTTTGTTTTTCTTTTTTTTTTTTTTATTTTAACCAAGGTGCAATCAGGTGAAGGGCTATGTATGATAGAAGGGGAGAATAGGTTATTATTTCAAAGAATGAAGCCTGGTTTGAGAAGAACAGAGAGGCTCTGATTAAGAGGAGGAAGAAGCTGGAAAACGGCAAAGTGGAGGGATAGAATATGATTAAAAAAAGAGACTGGATGATGAATTGGGAATTATATCTGGGCAAAGGAAATAGGAAAAGGAGCTCAGAGTTGACACCTGGAAGAAGATTGCTGGGACAGAGAATGCAAACTGAAGAATGAGGACAGAGGGGACCAGCACAGGAGCAGACTGGAGTGGGCTTGGGTAAAAAGGTTCAGATTTTATGTTGGGGTTTGAGTAGAAGAGAAATCTTTGCCTGTGGAGCACTCGCCCTGCCAGAGTCTGGTGCAGAGTAGTCCACTGTCTGTGTTTTCCTGCTACCAGATATCTGTAGAATCCCACCAGGCAAACTCGCTTGGGCGCCTGGAGTGCCTGGGCTGTGCGCGCATTGGATGTTCGGTCTGGGTTGTCCTAAGTTGCCTCCTGCTTAATTACAAGGCCCCTAACTCTAAGCAAGAACATTTCTTGCCTCAGCGGTGCACAGAATTAGAATTAGTCCATCGTATCAAATCTCTTATGCGTTTTTGGACTGGAGGCAAATTGTAGCTGACAGACTGTTTTGTAAGCTACTTCTGAGTTTGCAGCTCTGAGCCCGAAGCTTATCTGTATGTATATGTCCTCCCCCTGTATTCCTGGGAGCCACGTTCACTCATTTCAGCTCTGAAGGAGTGTTAGCTGCTGTCTTCCTGAAGTGGTGGGGAGGAAGTGTGCTCCGCAGGCAGTTGGTCATCTACCTAACCAGACTCAGTGGGAATGGGGCAGCTGGGAGCAAACCGCCCCTTGTCAGCTGAGACCAGAGCTGCATGGCTCTGCTGCTGGGGAAAATCCTGGCTTCAGCTTACTGCCTTGCTGCTTGGCTGGAAAGGGGTCTCCCTGGAGCGACGGGAAGAGGAGAGCTGCGTGCTAAATCTCTGGAAATCTCAGCGGTGTTAGCTGCTGCCTCTCAGTCTGACATGTGTTTGACATCAGTGGTGGAGCAGCAGCCTTACCGGGATGAGACTCAATTCTCAAGTGCCAGCTTAACCGAGAAGATGACATCCTGCTGCTGCTGGCTGCTGTGTTGGCTGAAGTGGCAGGGATCCTGTCATGGATACTTGCAGCCCTGCTCGTAAACCCCGTAGTATGTAGGGATCTGTGAGACGGAATATGTTTTTTCAGTTTGCTTTATTAAACCAACTGAGCACTTTATGCATAAACACTCTTTAACTGTGGAGTCCAGCGTTCGGAAGTTAAATATCAAATTTAATTTGGCTGCATTGTGGGATACAGTGAATGTAGTTTTAATTTGTTTTTGCATGCTAATTTATCCAGAGGACCTGCTGCACCTTTCAAGACAGGAAGGACTGTGAGCTGGGGCTGGGGGTTTGAATGAGAATGGCTCATGGACGCAGGTATATGGCTCTTGTCCCATTCTCTGCAGATGTTGCCAAGTCCATAGTGAAAGGAGAAGTTAGAAAAGATGGTATTGAAATAAGGCAGTTCATATGTTGCTTTGGGCAGCCAGCTTCTGCCTTAAGTGGTTGGGATTCTTTGAACTAAGTGAGAGGGGTGAAAAGTATCCCAATAGCAAAGAACTACAGCTAGTATATACGTTCCAACACACACACAAGGATTAACATGGCAAGATGACTGCAGGTAAATAAAGGGCAAGAGACTATTTGCTGAAAAGTTTTCATTTTTCCCCTTATCTGGATGCTGGAACTCTTAACTAGTGATCTGGGGTTTTATTTTTCAAAATACGTTGTGCATGCATATATAGCCTTGGAAATAAGAATTGTTGTTATTGCAGGGTGATGAAGGTTTAATACCTCGAATTTGTGAGGGATTATTCAGCAAAATAAGTGAAAAAACAAAGCGGAATGAGGCATCCTTTCGAACAGAAGTCAGGTAGGTCTTGGCATGTTAATAGTTTGCTGGTTATCAAACTTGTTTCGGTTACAACAACCCTGTTTCACTTCTTATCTCTGAGGAAAAGTGTGTGTTTTTCAAATAACTTTCTATGCTTGGCCTCAGTCCTATAATTGATTTTTGTTGGCAGTCGTAGTCAAAATGTGCAATACTTCTAACTTCAATCCAACTGTGCATTTTGCTTTATTTAAATGATAGTGAAAATGCCTTTGCTACTAGACAGCATCTTCCCTATTTTTACCTTTTATTTCAGGCTGACATTAGGAGCTCTTGATGTTGCTAATGCCTGCTTCCTTTCTACTTGTTGCTTTTTTGGCTTTTTTCCTTATGATACAAGTACACTGTAGTCATTACTATCTTAAGCCAACTTTGGATCCGTTTGCTTCTCCAGGCATCTTGCTTTCAAACACAGTGTTAACATGGCTTTCCTTTTTTTAAAGACTCTTGAATCAGTCAGTGGTGTTCTAATCTTTTTTTCTTTCAGTTATCTGGAAATTTATAATGAACGTGTGAGAGATCTTCTCAGACGAAAGTCATCAAAAACTAATAATTTACGAATACGAGAACATCCAAAAGAAGGGCCGTATGTTGAGGGTAAAGACACTTTCAGTGTTTTTCACTGGCTATTTTATTTCCTTTATGTATTTTAAAATGTCATGTCTAATTGCACAGGGCATTTTTATCTTTTAAAATATAAAAGATGTTGGATATAGTGCTTTCCTTTGATATAAAAGCATTAAAGGAGAATAGCCTCTCAGTTGGTATGCCCGCTCGCTTTCCCAATTTGAAGATTATTATACATATACAGTTTTTATCTGTAAATTTATAACACATCTTTAAATAATGTGAAGACATGCAATTGGTTTTAAGAATTTATTGACTATAATTTATGAATCTTTAATGTTTAGATGGAAAGAACCTATTAGGATCTAATTGTCTTAATCCATCCTCTGCCAAGGAAGGCTCCTGTCTCTTGAGGGATTATGCTTATGTTATTGGACTAAATACTTTAGTAAGATTGCATATTTTTTTCTTAATTTACTGTAAATGTGTAAGTTCTCCGTTGTTCACGAGGCCTCATTCCTTTCCGTAAGTGATAAACAAGTATGACAATAAACACTAATTGCAGCAATAGTTTGCAATAGTGAGGGTAATTTGAATCTTTTTGCAAAGAAAATCAAGTGCATGTATGAGCATGCTCTAACAGTCTGCTTTTCTTTAGATTTGTCTAAACATCTAGTGCAAAATTATACTGATGTAGAGGAACTTATGGATGCAGGAAATATAAATAGAACGACGGCTGCAACTGGAATGAATGATGTCAGTAGCAGGTCGCATGCCATTTTCACGATCAACTTCACTCAGGTAACAAAACAAAACAAACTGCCCTGTCTTAATATGTGTTTAGGTTCAATAATTCGTATGATAATTAAATAATAAGGTTGTCAAATAAGCAAGTATGGGTAGATAATGACTATGTTGTTGTCTTGTGATAGGGAAAGTTAAAAGACTGAAAATACTGTTTTGAGAACTATGAATATGTTTATCAGTGATTATAATCTTGAAAACTTACAGTGTAATGTGATTACTTAAAATGATATTTAATAGATTTTGAGGAGATAATTATCGGAAGTTCAGGCTGTATAACAATGACCAGCGCTGGCGTGTTTCACAATGCTGCTGTGACAGGAGGAGTGGGTGAGGACCAAGTTGTGAGAGGCTTCAGCAGAGCTGAACATGGGCTACCTTTTATGCTCTGATGTTATCCAAGGCTTACGAAAAAACCTGTCTCCATGGCCCAAATTGTAGAGTGTAGAAATGTTTTCTGAGTGTTTTCTTGCTGAGTCTTCATCTGTTACTATTGGAAACCTATTTATATTCCTTGATTTACTAATGGAATAACGGAGAGATTGAACACATTTTCTAAGAGCATAGTGATCGTCTTGTTTATATGTAGAAACTCCTTTTCTAATGATTCCTGCTCTTCATCGTTGTTTTTGGGGGACTTTTTAGGCAGTCCACAGATAGCCTGCTAGATGAAGAGAAGGTTGCATGGAGATGGTTCACTCTCCTGACAGAACTTTGCATGTCTTCTCGCAAAAACACACGCACACAAAATCCCGTGCACCAGCTGTTCGCTAATGATGAATTGCTCATTGCAAAGCTTTCAGAAGAGGATGAGAGGCAGGCAGCAAAAGGTTTTGTTCTACTGGTGTACTGTAAAAGTAGAAGGAAGTTTGAAACAGGGCAATCTGAGTTGATTTATACAAATTAAGATAAAAATTGGAGGGAAGCCTCAGTTGAAATCATAGAATAAAATTGCCATTGCTACTTGAACTTGGAGGCAGGGGGAGAAATTGAGGGTAGGTGTGTCTGTGTATAACTTGTTGAAAGCTTAATAAAATGAATGCAGCACATGTTCACTGCGCATCATGTAACTACCAATTCACAGCTGTCAGTGCATGTGTGTAAGTGGCTAGAAAGTTGCAAATATTACAATTTAAAGCAGTAACTACTTGCGTGGGAGTTAGACAGCAATTCATGATCAAATGCCTTTCTGTGGCACCTCTAATACACCTGTCTTCTGAAGCTCTGCTATTGTGAACAAGTTAAATTCAATCATGACATGAAAAAGGCCACTAAGTTGGATTCGGTAAAATTTCAGATTTTTGTCGCTTAACATACTCTTCTTTCTATTGTGTTTTTTCTGTAGGCTAAATTTGATTCTGAAATGCCTTGTGAAACTGTTAGCAAGATTCATTTGGTAGATCTTGCTGGAAGTGAGAGAGCAGATGCCACCGGTGCCACAGGGGTTAGATTAAAGGAAGGAGGGAATATTAACAAATCTCTAGTTACTCTGGGAAATGTGATTTCTGCCTTAGGTGAGTGTCTGGGTTTCGTGTTTGTCTGTTTTGGGTTTTTTTTAGTCATTAAATACCTTTCTGTTTACTTACTTACACTTCTGTTCATTTTTACTCACACATGTATACCGTTTTTGAAAATTAATGACAATACATAATTGCTTTTTTTTTTTTCCCCTGCCTCCATATCACAGCTGATTTATCTCAGGATGCAACAAATCCTCTTTCAAAGAAGAAACAAGTATTTGTGCCTTACAGGGACTCTGTGTTGACTTGGCTGTTAAAAGATAGCCTAGGAGGAAACTCTAAAACTATAATGATTGCCAGTAAGTGTTTTTAAATTACTTTTTTGCATCCTGAACAGTTCGTGCTTAATAGGAGTGGCTGTAAATATTTAGATTCCAGATGCTTTGTTAAGGAAGAACGTTGTTTATGCATATTAATGATTTCTTTCTGAGTTTTCTAGTAAGACTGCCTTTACCTACACTCTTCCAGCGGTAGAACTATATAGGGTCTCATTGTGTATATGGGGACAGTCTGTTTGTTTAGCAATGTCATGAACAATAGCAGGTATGCCTTCCAAATTTGAGAGCTTCATTTTCATCTGCAAATTATCTGTTTGGGTGCACATATCGCTGGCTGAGTATTTGGTCACAAATGTGACAAGGCATCCAGATTGTGTATGTACAGTCATTAGGCATTTATTTGCATAAGTAAAAGTCATCCAAATGTATGTGCCTAATTGCTTGCATTTGCTCTGACATCTACCTCACTGCTGTGTTTCTCTGACACATGCACGGTGTAATGATTAGCTCATCTGACCAGTTAAACTTCAAGTAATAGTTCCTGTTTATTCTTGAGGTTTGTCTGTATTCCAGACAGCTCTGCTACTCATGGTAAACGCTCAAACCTGGGCCTAGATCAAGTCTTGTACTTCTCTCCCCTTATGCCTCCTCAGCTTGCAGACTTTGATCCCCAGTAAAAAAAAAAAAAAATTCCAGCTTTGTGCATCTAGTCAATGCTGATGTGTGAATAAGTGTGCTTTTCCAAAACTGTTGTTTTTTGTTGCATTAGTAGCAGAAGCAGCCTGATCTCTTTTTGACATTCAGTAGATAAGACTGTCATTTTTACTTAACCTACTTCTTGAATCCACACAACGTTTTAACTTGTTGTCTAAATTTAATTATTTATGATCAGTCATCTTGCAAACTTTTCTTACTGTTTCCTTTTTACCCATAGGAAGCTCTGTAAGGATTGCTTCATTTAAAAATCTATCTATGGCATATGTATTGCAGGCTTTTCAACAAATTGGAATGGGAATTCCATTCCAAAAAAAACCCCAAGTGAAAACAGGAGGATGTTTAAGAGGAGGAGAGGATTTTGAATGTTGGAGATGTAAGGTGTGAAGACAAAAGCAGCTCTGAAACTTCTCTCACTCTTTC